TTACCTGTTCCGTGTGCGTTTTCGGTGGCATATCTCTACAGGTCTAAAAGGATGGTAAGAAAAAAAGGAAGAGAAGCAAGACAGACAATGTTCATGCCAATGGAAGTTGAGTCATTTGTAGTAGAATAGTTCGAGTATGAATACTTAATGTGATTTTCTATCACTAAAGTACATTTTAAGCAAGAACATTCTAGTAGGTTAAAGAAAAGAAGCGTAGACATGGTATTAATGGACAAAGAACTATATAAATGGACGTGGTTCAAAATGTAGCTGAAAGCATACGATTATGTGAGGTTTTAAAATATAGCACTGAAAACAGCATTCTGATACACATAAGTTATCTCGCTTTCTGTCGAAGCTACCTCAGCTCATTTTTATTTTTCTGGATCTTATAGGGTCACGAGCAGGCTTCGTTTTAGAGAACTGTCTAGTCTTGCTTGTAATGGGATCACTCAATAGGAAGTTAAACCAATCCACCCTCAAAAACACGATTTAAGGACGTACGTTGTATAGTAAACTAGCATCAATACCATTTGTTCGTGACATTCGACAAGACCACAAGGAGCCGTAATTTAACAGCATGTTCTCCCCTACAGTTGTGGGTGGATTGAAGTTGTCCCCGCACTATCATGTTTGCTGCTCAGTATCGCCACCCTCCCTCCTTTTGTAATGATGGGCTCTCTTACATTTGTGGTGTGTATGAATATTGCTTTAATCTAAGCTCTTTTCTAAACTTTCTCTGTTAATTCCATGTTACAAGCAAATTAGATGGTTAAAGCTTCTGCATTTTGGGTTAGACATTTAATATATCACACTGCTTTGAAGATAACTAATCGTATAGGTTATAAGATAGTGGTTAGGTTATATGTGGTTTAAAGATGGTAAAGACAAGTAGCAAATCAAAAGACATGAAAGAGTATAGAATTGCATATTCGCGGAGTAAGAACACAAAACATTGAGCGACTTACAATGGTTTTGGAAATTATGAGCTTCTTATTATTGGCCATAGTTGATCAGCATCTATAAGATTAGTGAGTTATTTTTCTACTTGTGATAGAAAAAAGGACATGAAACTTAAGAAGAATGATGCAACTCCAACCATTAGAGACATTCGGAATCTGAAGGTGAGGGGTAGGAGCATAAGGATGTAACTAATAAGGGATGAATAATGGGGGATTGTAAATCATATAATCTAGCATTCGGTTATAATCATAATAATGACAATTGAGGATCCTTTATATTCATAATCAGTCTAGATATTAGGCTGTCCATAAAAGAGTGCCTCGTTGGTGAGCGATATTTCAAGGAATAGTTGATGAAGCTCTTTACAGTCAAGCAACACGGTTATTAGTCTTCTGAATTTGATGATAGTGTCACAGTTACGGGTAGGTATTGGCAACCTAGTTCATAGTAAAGTTTACCGCACTGTATATGTATACATATTGCCTGGTAGAGAAATATTAGGTTCTTCCTTGGACAACGGTACCACAAAGATTATAAGGCGAGAAGCCATCCGTACTGACGTAAGCACTATGAGATCTGAAGTCCACAAAGCAAACGAGCGTTCGATATTCTTAGGCTAGCTGCCTTCGATACAGAGTAATTGATCTGTCACATGTGGGAGTGGCATTAGAGGAGTTTCTTTCGGAATACGTCATTTCAACGTGATTATGTTTTTGAACTCATCAGCAGACTAAACTGTGTGGAAAATACCCTGGTGTAATCTGGATTGTACCAACATACAATACAAGGAGGAAAATGTGATAAATTTCTTTTTTACCTCCCAAGGAACGTTTTTGGCACCATTTATTTCAGTTCAACCAGAATAGTTGAGTAGTAAAGTTTGCTTCATGCTAACAATCGTGTAGAATCACTTAGTTATCAAACGACGAGATATCTGGTTAAATATGATTCACTGCCAAATGAGTGATGGTGTGAGAATGGAATGTCGGAAAGATAGTGTACAAACGGGCCTGCTTAAAGTGTTCCGATGTCCGAGTCCTTTCTCCATGAAGACGTTTTATAACAGATTATTATAATCTTCGGCCACGACATTGTTTCGCTGCAGAATCTTTAAAAAACGTCACTTCATTAGACATTATATATTACTGCAGCTTTATGTAGAAAAGATATTCCAGTGTCACAATGAATACAATTGCAGAACAACAGTCAACCCCATTGTGTCACCATTATTTATAAAAACGTTGAAACGACATTACGCATTTTCTTAAAAATTATGTATACTAAACTACTCATCAAAAAATCGTTGACTCTTTACTTCGAATTTCCGGTTGTAAGGGAATGCACATCTGCATTTCTAGCTAGCTTGAGTGTTTTTAACAGTTTCATCCCATGCCATATTCAGTTTCGTGATACAAATGTGCAGTGCAACCGTATAAAAGCCAACAGTATGTGTACGACACTTCATTTCAGAACTTAGTTACTTGTTCATCAAGTTACATGGAAAACAAAGACAAAGTTCGTAGGTCAGGAAATTTTGTTTTTATTATAAATTTTCAAACCTCTCACACTTTAATTACACTGGTGTATGAACGCTGACTGTTGAACGGATCACATATCTTTAGTTATGAACTAGACTATTTTTAGCCAATCTTCTTCGTCAGTCTGTTTATTTAAGGCCAATCTTCGTAAACTACGTAAATCCTGGTTTCAGTGAAATTACTGACTATAAGTACTGATGTACGTAAACCGAGAAACTAGACTTCTTCCTAAAACTAAATATCGAAGTAATTGAATGTAAGTTTACAAGCGTAGCACCAGTCCCTAGTGTTGTAATGAATATTGCAATTATTATGGCCAAAAGTATTTTTACCTAAGACTTCATTACCCGTTAAGTCCGTCATTACTCTTAGGATCAGGTTAATAAACAGACTCGTTCAAAATAGCATATTTATAAGGACCTCGCTCCTCAAAGCGGTGCGGTCTAAAATGACCTGTTAGAACACTCACATAAATATAGGATTCCAGCCGGTATTAATCAATAAACCGAATTTCCGATAGAGCCATCATTCTACAATGAGTTCGAGACCTATGAATGAATAAAAATATTTCTAACAAGATTGGATCAGATACTTACCTGCAAGGATTTCAGTGACCTTTCCAAGCAGACAGTCAAAGGTTAACAATCATATACTGAGTTACGCCGTGACCTTAGGTTTCTTTAGATGACCTTATTGCCAACGGTTCAACAACGTGCAACAGTAAATTAAGCAACAAAAGGTAAGCCCTTAATCAAGGCCGAATAATGAAAACTCAGACAAGGAAGACTGAAGAACATGAAGTGTAGTATAAAAGAACGTGAATAAAGATTAAGAAACATGACAGGGAGAAGAAACAAATGGATAAAAACTGTCTAATAAAATCCTGTGGAGGGATTTTCAGCGTGTTTTTTCCACTGCAATAACCAATATGCTAAAAGTGTGTGAAATATTCAAACATGAATCCAGTTAAAAACTCGGTCATGCAAATTCACGAAAGCCAACAAATCACTCTCCCCAGTCCTAACATGTGAACAAGTACGAACTGAGTCGTAACTAGGTTGCTACCTAATTTAACTGTCGTACTATCGATAGACCAAACTACAACATAAAATCATTTAGATACAGTCTATATGCAAATGCAGTACCCTATAGGCTCTCACACAGCCCTAAAATTATGAAATAAAAACACATTTTTACGGTCATTAAGCGGTAGTGTGGAAAGAATCTTATCTGTTTTGACCCACAGGATTCCTTCAAAGCCACAGAAAGCTGCTAGAATGAAAAACTTAGAAAATATTTATAAAAAAACGCAATCACGCAGGATCAGACATGGTATTTATAGAATTCAAACACCTTGGCTTTATGTATAAAATAAGCAGAGTGCTTAGATTAAAAAATCTCCGCACATTCGTTTGACTAATACCTTTATTTTGTCGTCATACCATGAATCTATTCAAGTGCACAGACAAACCATAATTTAATAGAGGAAGACAAACACTGTAATTCCTGTTCAAAGTAAGGACGTATATATATCCCAATCTGACCACAGTGTTTCTACTCTAATAGTGAGTTATCAGCGAACTCTTCGTCTCCCAAAGCGCTACACATCCCTCCAGTAACTTAAATTCCAATAGTGAACCCTAAATACTTGTTATCATTCTGGCCGAGGGTCTACTTCAATACTAAAGAGCTCTGAACCGTAGTTAAGAGACTCTCAACGGGTTTAAAAGTATCAGTATTCAGGTTACTGCGAAAAATCGTCTGTCATTCCATTCACTTTGTAATAACTGATAATCTAATCTAAAATTTTGGTTAAACAGATTTATTTTACCCTAGGAAAGCTGTGAATAGCCACTAGATTTATCAGATACAATCGACTAGGATCAAGTTGAAGAAGTTTAAAATCCCTACATCCCACGATTAAGAGCTGACTTAGAAACTCATGTAGTCCTGATTAATTTCGAGAAACAGTCGTCTTCGTAGTCATTTGAACCTGGTGGTTGGCATGTTTTTTTATTGGATATGATAATAGCTGGAGCTGTTCAGTCAAACAACCACATAAGACCATGTTTTAATACGTCTAGAAAAGCTACTGTGATAACTATCCAGCTTAGATGCAATGCATTATGATAGTTTAGCCTATTAGACAAAAACTTCCGTCCTAACCATTCCTGACCGTTTCATTTTGCTGTCCTAGAGATATTTCGACAGGAGATACACGGATATCAGTGTTTGCAAACTCTGTTCTATTCAAATAGTATCCACATGAGATTTGGTAGAATCGCTTTTTAGGAAGAGGCTACTCGCCCTAACAAAGAAGAGTGGTGTGTGACGAATGGCGGTTACCTGTCTAAACCAAAGCCCGAATTTTGTGTACCTCTTGATTTTCGAAGTACGAATGCAGACACTTCAGTTGAAAAAAAACACATAGGAGCTCCAAAAAGTTCTGAAGATGTCTGTGGTTTATGCCAGTTTTCTTTTACGGTATTGGATACTGGATTTCGCTAAGGCGGAGCGTTTGACAGTTTACGTCTCGTCGGGATTTCAATAAGTTTGGTAAGATTTTTCCGAAATAAATGACGTAGTTAGTCGATAATTCTGATTACGCCATGGCGGAAAAATATGACTTCCAATGGACCCAATTGCTACAGGATAAAGACAAAACTCTTGCATACTGTCTAGCATTTTGGCGTAATAACTGACGTCACCCAATCTCCCTGTTTTGGGGTTTTGTGCTATTTCCCTAAGCTTTTCTATATCGGCTTCCACAAAATGGATTAAAATTTCCCTGAAATTGGGAGATCGGACAGTTCATGACAAAGACTTATTTTGATTCCTAACTCCAAACTCTAATCTTTACCCCCCATACTAACTAATAGTCCTATTTTGGCGCTAGTAGTGTGTAAGTTGTCTGAAGATGACTTAAAGATCTTCTAATGATCGTCCATTATAGTCTCAACTTTTAAGCTTTTCTGTCTAGGCAGCATATACGACTTTTACGTGGTACTATATGTAAACTCTTTACAAGCTCTAGTGCGGTGGGATACAGACTCGTTGGGCGTGACGATAATTTACGAACAAACCGATAAGATATAAGATAACATGTCTCGGGTTTTCATTCTTCAGTAATAAGGATAGGAGGTCTATCGACCTACGTTAATCCTTGCAGTTTGTAACACGAGGTCTAATAACGTTTTGAATATATCGACAGAAGATGCTAATCTTACGTGTTCTGTTAAAGAATTTTAGTGATTCACTAGTCGGCATGAGAAACGAAACTCCGGACGTAGACGATTGGGTCTCGGTTTTTGAACCTTCTTCGAACGTGCTCAAGTGACCAGTCCTAGACGGGAGGACAAGATAAGACATATTGGCGAGCCTGATTTATGGACGACCTTCGAACAAATCTTAAGTGACCTTGAAAATATTAGCCAATCAGTAAACAGCTAGTATAGAGTCAGTCGTGTGCTGTTACGGGTATGAGGGCTGATGTCACTTCCCGGCTGCCCACACCGTGGAAGGGTATTTCTTGAGGAACCTGAAAAGGAAATTGGATTAGTGTTGGTCTTGACGACCTGTGAGCGTGACCGCAGAGCCCAAGGGACAACTGCTTGACGCCGGTCGCGCACGGCCTTTTCGTGGGAGGTTTTTAGTATGTTAGCTTCGTTCTTCAAAGGGTCTTACCGCCAGAGACGGAAATCCGTGAGGTAAGGTGAGGTGTGACATTTTTAGGGTCGACCTTTTCTAACCCGTTCCTTCTTTGTGAGAAGGCAGCATCGCTGCAGATGCTGGTTGTCCGAGGGAAACACCTTACTGCTGTCACACCTCTCTACAGTCAGCAGTACGACTTCGCCCTCAGACCTTGATTTGGTGATTTTAGTCTTACAGTTCTCCAATCGACCTGCCTGGCATGGTAAAACCTACAGGAACATATGTTCCAGCCAATATAGCTCGGTTGGGTCATCACGATAGGCAAGCCCGACCACCGCGTCAAGGTAGCAGCTTCGGTCAGGCTAGTATAGAGTAAAATATATTATACAAAACCATGGAAATAAAGTGGATGCACTTCTTATACGCGGTCCAAAAACTTGTCAAGGTTAGAAAGACGTTCTAAAATCGTAATGCATGCAGTAGAGGAAATCATCCATACAGCTACAGAATAGTCGGCATCTGGAGCCATGACAAAGTCTCGAAAACTCTCAGCCTCGAACACAGTTTCAATCTTGTTTATGTGCACTCCGGTTGTTAAGCGCACAAAATGACACTTGTAGATAACGACACGATGCAAGTAACCAAGCTTATGGAGGAGTCTATACGCTCTCAAAACATCCGTATATATATTGTAGTACCTGGATGCAGCCAATGTTACTGGTGCCTTTATTATCCAGTTCGCGATAATTGTCAAAGTTTGCCATAGTTAGGAATTATATACGGGGTCCCCATCACGAACTGATATCAGCTATAATGCCATAAATGTATCTGGCCAAATGGAGGAAAGGCTTTCGCGTTAAAATCCGAGATCTATTATCTTATTACCTGATTGATTCGTCCACAAATTATAGTCCCGCTGTTTTATTTGTTATAGCCGCTTAATTATCACGTTTTGTACAAAATTCCTTGTGAACCGATAGTACGTTAGTATTAAGCACTGAAGTTGGCGCCGTAACCTTTGAATCTCTAAAACGCCTCTGATTGGCTCGTCCATAAATTAGTCTCATCAACATATTGATACCAAGGTCATCGTTCAGTATACGATAAGCCAATATTTTATCACCCCGTATTCTGCGGTAAGACAACGGAAATAAGTTGAGGTTTCTCAGTCTATCTTCATAAGATAGGTCAGAGAAACCTTTTACTATTTTAGTCCCTCGCCATTGAACTCGTTCCAACATATCCGCCTCATACTTGAAACAAGAACTTGCTGCTTAAATCCCATATTCCAAATGCGGTCGCATGAAAGTCGGGTATAGTAATCTAAACATTCCAAATACTGTAAAGGCGCGAAATTCATTCATTCATTTGGTTAAAGAGCGTTTTGGGATTTTATCTATTGTCAGTTCTTGATGAAAACTTTGAATATAACTCCTAACCATCAACTGTAAGCCATAATCCTTATTTTTCACATAGGCTTATAGCTCTCATTTAGCCCTAGCAAGTAGGTGGACATCTCCAAAGCCACTTTAACGTCACTCAAAGGTTGCCTATAAACTATGGTCTCACTACCCGTGGTTCCTAGAGTTCATATTTGCTGAGCCCAATGGCTTTTTATAACTAGTACACATAATCTTAGTATAAAAGAGCCAAGCATTTTCCCGAAGTAAGTTCAAATTCCTCATTTAGTAACTATCATACTCGTTGTAAATGGTTTCGAGCATCTAATAATAGGGCAATCAGGAAATTGTAAATTTACGCTTCTCGGTTCTATTAGTTTTTCGTTCGTCAGTTTGTCTGGCTTGCACTATAGTGGTGTTTTAAACCACAAAAAGAGTTTCACCAAGCTCATTTCAAAGTCAATCTTTATGATAATAATAATCGTGTCAGATGTGAAATATCACTTTATTCCGCCTACATTTGCTCCTAATTGTTGTTTAAGAGCTACAGTGTTACTCATCCCCCAATATGTCCGTGGTCTATGGTCATCAATTTTAATCTCATTTTAATGTATTTCGACTAACTCCCAAGGGTAAATATATTTACTCATCCTAAAACGAAATTCCTCGCGCTAAATGATTAGTAAAATATAATGTAAAGCCTCACAATCTATCTAATGAGAATAAAGAATTAAACTCTGGAAGTTACAAATAACAAGTTAAATGGCTTATAACTACGACTAGAAAATCGTGTTGACCACTCCCAATGCCAGATACATATGAAGTAAGACAAGTTATAACATTTGATAATGCATACTTGTTGTACGACTGCAAAACTGATTGATTAAGGTAAACCGTTTAGACAGTATACAAAATAAGTAAATGTACGTTTAACGCGTTACTAGTAATAGGCTATGCATACATTGCTTACAAACATTTTGTTAAAGTAATTAGTAACAGTTAACATGCATCGATATAGTTTTCAAAGTTTCATTTAGGCTTGACCTCGGTTGTCTGTACAAGCATAACAACTTAGTGAGATTTTAAACTCATGGTCCAGATTAGGTTAAGTTTGTGTTTGAAAAATGAGTATGTGAAGCAGTCAAGCTTTAGTTTTTTCACTTATGAATGCATCGATCGACTACCAATTTACTGGCACGTGTTAAAATAAATCTATTAACAACATTTTGTATCTGGATTAACAAAATAGAAATAAAAATCTAAGTCAAATAATTTCGTCTATCAAATCAAAACGAGGTATAGTATTTATTGGTTGACAGGTTCAATGTTGACATATTCAATTACGAGACTAGATAATTGGAGTTGAGATATACAACCCAAGGTTTCTAGGTCGTAGGTTTACTTTACCAACAAGCTTAAAAAGAATACACATGAAATTTGTTAGTAAGTCCTCACTACCCAACCAATAAATCAACCAACGTATACTACTAATTCGCAAAAATTAAAGTATGGGGATTCACAGGCATAAGAACTAATAAGTATTCGCTTGATTATGGTTTTTAACTTTAGAATTTTGTATAGCTTTGAAGATCTTATGCCTCTTTGATTAACTCAAACATTTTTTTTTATATTTCAGCACGTTTAATTCATAAGATGCCGTCTAAAATTTCAAAGTGGTTATCTTCCTACAAACCATCATCTCGTGAGGCGATGGATGAATTTATCACATGGATGTATTCAAGTAACAAACTAGTTGATGATATAGAAGAGACATTTGAAAAACTAGTCTCTTCCAGTACTATTTCTGATGTCTGTCAAAGATTATTTGTATTTTATAAATCAGGTTTACCGGCCTTACAAAATTTTGTTGTTCTTCTTTTACCTTCATTATTGCATTCATATTTATGTCATTCTTATGAAGATAATAGCTCATCATCTCAGACAAGAAAAATTGTTTCAAATATATCAGATTCATCCCAGTCATCATTTTTAATCAGTTTGAGTTTGTTAGAATCATGTTTGCTGAGCATATGCAATTATTATCTTGTAAAAGCTGACCCTTTAAAAGGTAAATTTGAAAGCTTTATAAGTGATATTAACAACTTTCGTCTACCATCGTTAACCACACCGTCTGTTTTTCATAATCCTGTTTCTATTAAGGAAACAATCGAAAGAAATGATGCCAATGTTAAAACTGAAAGTGAGAATTTGAATCCTCTTAGAGTGTCTGCGATTATATGCTTAATTCAAAATTATATTGAGATATTATCTACTCTTGATCTGCAAAATCCTATTATATCTGTGCTAATATTTCACTCATTGTCAAGATTTTCAAAGTTTTCAGATCGTGTTGTTAGCATATCAAAACGTCCTCGTATTCCAACTTCATCTGGTTTATTAATGATATTATTGGATTGTTCAGATCTTATTTTATTTAAACTCGATTGCTTTGACAAATACTCTGGAAGTAATAATCGTCTTACTGACTCAATCCGATCCTCTATACTGGACAGTATTATAGAAATTAGTAATCGTGCTACGCATCATTGTTTTTCTTCTTGTCTTTTAGTATGTCAGTCTTTATTACACTATCGCAGTATTTATTACGATTATTGTGATCAAAAACCTAGGATGAAAGATGGATATGTTCAGGATATTGAAAATACCCCTAATTCTACTCACATTCCACCTGTGATCTCTATAAACTCTGTAGAGGATAAAACTCTACGTACTGAGTATACTCCACGACCAAAACTTAGCTCTACAAATGCTGAAGTATTTACAAGTGCTTCATTTAAACCAGAAATTGTATCTGAAGATATAACTCCAGTCAGTGAAAATTCTCGATCGTCCAGACCAGACAAAATGACAGGCCCAGAGGAGAATGTTAATAATGGGGCTAGTGCAAGTAATAATACCAATAAGAAGCATTCCAGTGAAGTACATGAAAGAAAACACAATAAGTTGAAAATTGGTGTTGATTTCCGAATCAAATCAAATGATCATAGAAAGCATACTTTGGAGAAACTATCTGCACATCATGTAAAAAGTAATAACACTGAGAAGTAGTTCAATATATATCATATAAACTTAATTTTGTTCCTTGTCTTTCATTAGCATTATCATTGCTCATCATCGTCAATATCTTTTACTAAAACACTATCGTTGGTTTATGATCAGTTGACAAATGAGGTGTTGTTCATGACTTGCATTTTCTCGCACCTGTGTTACTCCTTTTATTTATTTTCGTAACTTTTTATTTTTTACATTCTCATACAGTCTTTACAATGAGACCTCTGTGTATAGATCTTAACTTTTTCTATCAAACTACCTAATTATAAATAGCGTACTTTCAGTTGAAAATTATTGTATATCTTATGTAATGTCTTATTTTCTTTATTCTACCAGTTATACATGCTCAGTTGTTTTAAAAAAAACACTGGTTTAGTAAGTTGAAACTTTCGTAGGTGTTAATGTAATTTAATCTTCTAGATTTCATCAAGTTTTGTTTCGTCAAATAGGTTTGTTTATTTTGAATGTACAGTCTTTCTTCAATCTCATCGATGGCTTACGGAAAGCTGTGTGGTTTTGTACTGAGTAGACAGCTGACAAATATCGAGAAGTACTAGGATAGAAAAGTTGAAGAACGAATAGATAAATAGGTAATGAGGTGTGAAGAGTGATAAAAAGGGGATAGATTTGTACCATTACCACGTACTTTGAATCATAATCAGCACTCTCTGAAATCTCTTGTACCGTATTTAGATAGCATATATTTCCTCATGCTATACAGCCCAATATCTAGTAAATCAACCAAATGATCCTGTATATTCGTCTAAACATCTTTTCAACAGCTAAATCCTATTATTATTAATATATCAAGTTGTGATATGTCGTAGTTAAGCATCTATTCACTAGACACTTCGGTTAATTCGATTGAACAGCTCACTAAAATGCACGTTCGTGAAGTGCTAAAGTGTCGGCTTGTGTTTTGAGTTCACCAAACGTTTAATTAAATATGTGCGTATTTGCTTTCAATCTTTGTGTTGATATTGAGTAGCAAGCACTCAAATTTTAAAGGCATTTGGTGTTAGAGACAATGTTTGTGATATATTAAATTCCTAAAATCTAAAGTGTTGTGAACTATAATTTTAAGATTTAATGAACATTAGCCGCTTTCATATTTTGTCAGTTTGATTTATCATCTTCCCAAACGACCTACCTGAGCACACCTGATTCACAGTTAATTAGACTGCAAGCAGAAAATCTGTGCTTTGGATTTTCTTAAGCTTAGTTATTGGGCGTCGGATGAAATCATAGTGATCGGTACCTGCTCTTCGACATACGGAGAAATGTATTCGCATAGTTAAAGTCACCTCTTCCATTTAGACCATTACCAAGTGTTGACTGACCACGTCACTGAAACTTATGATAATTATTACTGCAGTAGCCTTGTGTCTGTTATTTCAGCTGTTTATAGAATGACTTGGAATTTTATCGGGCTTTTTGGTGTTAATTTCTGTAAATGAGACACTTTTTAATAGATAATTATGTATTCTTGCTTCATCGCAACCATGAGCAGTCAGCTTTCAAGCTCAGATACTTGTAAGAATTTCACTGATATATTACACTAATAAAAACTGCCAAGTCTAAAAAGGGTAAATGTTTCAAAATTGTGGTTATTTGTCAATTTAAATGGCTTTCATTCAAGTAGGTTAAAAAGAATCACTGAAATATTGTTGTAATCGGTTTTGGAGCAACGCGTTAGCATAGGCAGAAAAAGCCTATTGTGGGTTAATAAGTCAGGAACAACATGGAAGAAGAAGTAGTTGTAAGATTTTAATAAATATGGGTTAGGTAGTAGAAAAATCTTTGCTAAAGTTATCCCAGACGTAAGCCGTTATAGTCTGCAGGTATGACTGTGATAAATTGTGAATCTATTGGTAAACTTATTGATTCCAAGATATGTATTCCATCATCTGATTGTGAATTACAGACCATTCTGCAGAATAATCTTAATATTTTGGAGATAGTGATAAGCTGTATAAATACTACTAGATACAAATGTCTCTGTATCATATAAACAACTACATCATGTCAGATATAATTACGGTCACCACCTGGATTTTTTGGTCAACAATCGGGTTTCGTAAAAGAGTTATCATTGTTAACATCATGCTTCCTTAAATGACGTATATTAGGATTATTTCAGTCAGTCGTCATCAACGTAGAACCTAACACTTTTAGAAACCCCATTGTATAAATGTGTTTATGATAGTTGCCAATCATTTCTTAGGTAACTTGTAAATAAGACAGTATCTGATTTATTCAAATCCTGGATAACATAGGTTCACAACAAATTCTTAAAACTTTAGAGGGAGTTTACTATTTTTCAGATCATATAAATACCAATTATGTAAACAACACCTATTCTTTGACATTAGATATTATCTCTGCTAGTAGTGGTATTCAGTTGTTTGTTCAAAATTACTAAACGTATAAGATAATCTACTGTAATTATAGCGGAATAGTATCCTTTTTACAGGTAAACAGTAACCAACATGTTTATGGTAGCATGTACATGTTCGTATAAAAAAGTAACCAAATGGTATTACATTTCCGACTGTCTTTACATACTTTTCACATGGCTCCTTTGAAAAGTCATTCTTTAATGAGTTGCTAAAAAGGGACATTAATTTGGCCTTTAGGCTATAGACTTTACGTTACTAGATACCCATCAGTAGTCTTCCATAAGAACCTGAATATCGGCCAGTCACGAAAATCAAAAGTCAACATACTTCAATTTTCTAGAACATGCGGTTTAATCTCTCGTATGGTGTTTGATTTCTGAAATTGGTGTGCCTCATAGGCGATGTCGCTTAATGATGCCTGAAGTGAATTCATACTTTAGTTCACTAAGCTAATTGTATGTATTCCGACTTCAGTGCGATGAACCAGAAAGTTAAAGTTTCATGTAATTGGTTCCTTTTATGAATTTAAATAAAGCCAGAACAAACATGGACGCAGAATGGTATGAATTCATTATATTTCGTGGCTTCTCATCAGCTGCTTACAACCATATATGTGTAGTGACTTACTTTTATCACGAGAACGCGATTGGTATAATGGAAACAATTATTATTATAACCAATTGTACCTGTGCTTGTTTTAATGTGCCTTTGTTTAACTATGCTAGTGACAGACATTTCGTGTTTCCATTCCATTCCATTACTTTTCCGCGGATTGTGACATCGTACGTTCGTACTCCTGCCCGCTCATTCCACTTGTACTTCTTTTGGCACGATCTTGGTATTCGTTCAATACCACGAGATCGCCAACGAAATGAATCTGGTTACGTTCAGTCTTCGCCTTCTGGTTTGTTTGGTACGCGTCTCATTGTATTGGTGTTCAACCTTGACTCGACTCCACGCTACATATGTACTGGAAGTAAACATTAAGGCTAGATATAATGTGAAGCAGTTTATATAGATGAATGAAAAGAATTGAAATAAAAAAGGTTATCAATAATAACTGTATATGTGTGCAGGAACAGGTCAGAGGTTATTTGGGGTTAGAAAGCTTCTATCCTGTTCTACCTGTAGTGGAAAGTTCAAGTTTGTAAGGAATCTTTTATTACTAGTCTCCAGAAGGTCTGATTGTTACTGAAGAAAAATGACATGCTTATGTGCAAAACATAAACACCAACTAAAGATTATAAAATATCATAGGCAGTTGAAAGAAAATGGTTTATTGGTCACTGACTTTCCAATCAGTTAACAGCTGATCATAAAGCTTAACTTTTGTGTATCTTATCACAAATACATGAGATGTGAGCATTTGAGTAACAATATAATTAGTAATCATGTAAATAAATGTGATACTAGTCCTGAATCAATTCTCACCATAATAATCAATTATTCGATTTAAATGGAAATTAAACACTTAAAAATCCAATTTTTTTTAATATGGAGCATACTATAAGCTATGGCGGGTAGTTAAAGTTACTTTTGCCATTCGGTAGATAACTTCAGTTTTAGTATGTTACTTCATAAACAGTAATGACGATCGAACTAATAAGTAGTTGCCAATTTTATGTAATTAACCTTGAATAATTTTGACGAATACATGTTCCTTGCGACGTTACATCACTATTCTATTTGGAAATACCTGAAATAGCATCGATAATTCATGTTATCTTTCAAAACTTCGAGATATAACTATATTTGGTATTCCTTAATGCGGAGATAAGGTTATATGAAGTTAGAATCAAATTTACTCACTGCAAACATATGGTGCATTACTGTCACTTACAATAAACAATACTGGTCTCTAATCAAATGGACATCTTATTTAAATCGGAGTTCATCAGTGTTGTACTTTGCTTTAGTTAAATACACCAATTCTCTAATTATTTACATTTTAGTTTCTATATTTGGGTCAGGTAGAGTGATCAGTGCAAAGTAAAATGTTCACGAAAGTTTCTCTTTGACTTGGGAATGGTAGTAGCATATGATATCTATGTAAAAATGTCCATCGTGATTCCACTTGAGAACCGAAATGTTCACTGTGGCGCAACAAATTATTTGTATCAATTCACCATTGATGAATTCAACTACAAAACATTAATACACATGATCATGTTTTGATTTATCTGTGATCTTATTCTTGAAATTATTGATGACTTTAATAATTGGCACGACCTGAACATTTTCTTTCTTTATAATAAAAATGTGTTATTTCCTTAACAACCAAAGAAATTTCAAACAAAATCTTTATAATTACACTTTACTTATGTTCAAACTGTTCTAAGGATTAATCCATAAGTAGTCAAAATCATTTGATAAGAAACTGATCAATTGCAGTCCTAAACATCAATGATAAAATTCAGACAAACGATACAAAATGAATTTACACTTCACCCCATTGTAGAATCAAGTAGCTATCAGGACTCAGTAGCTAAGTGGGTAACGCGATGGTGTTTGAAGATAACGGTACTGGGTTTGAGTCCCGGAGTGAACGCCAACTCGGGTTCAGGTACATCCCGCTGACGAGTCTCTAATAGGACAAAACGCGCGTCTTGGATTCCACTGCTAGCTACCATACATCTTTGCTTATAATACTTCTCGATTATGTTTAGACTGTGTGACTTCTCAGTTAGGAATTAATCATTGAGTTTTGTTTCCTATCCTATTTGAGAAGCAACGCTAAAAAAAGGTTAGAGTAGTTAATAATCGTCTAATAAGTCAGTATTACCACATCAATGATCTAAATTCGAGATGAAATTTCTATGAACAGTTTTTGTCTATCTTAGCAAGACTTTTAAAGAACTCACTTGTGGAAAACACTACGCTTACAGCATAAAAATTGGTTGTCAACATGTCCATGATTTAAAACAATCATGCAGTAATTTAATTTTTGGCATTTAGTTAGAAGTAATATGGAAGAAAATTTATATAAATAAAAATGATAACTGGGTTTTAAATTGAATAAATATAGTTTAATCAATAGCAACCTCAAGTAATTTCTTGCAAGTAGTT